CCCCCCCCCTGAAAAGTCGGGCACTCCGTCATGGACATAGAGCCCAACAGCTGCACGAAAGAGGAGGGGACCTGGCTACCTTCTCCTGCATGATGTCTCTTTGCCGGTGTCCATCACCATTATCTATCTATCTATCTATCTATCTATCTATCTATCTATCGATCTATCGATCTATCTATCGATCTATCTATCATTTATCTATCTATCTATCTCTATCTATCTATCTATCTATCTATCTATCTATCTATCATTTATCTATCTATCTATCGATCTATCTATCATTTATCTATCTATCTATCTATCTATCTATCTATCTATCTATCTATCTATCTATCTATCATTTGTCCATCTATCTATCATTTATCTATCTATCTATCTATCTATCTATCTATCTATCTATCTATCTATCTATCTCTCTATCTATCGATCTATCTATCATTTATCTATCTATCGTTTATCCATCTATCTATCTATCATTTATCTATCTATCTATCTATCTATCTATCTATCTATCTATCTATCTATCTATCTATCTATCATTTATCTATCTATCTATCTATCTATCTATCTATCTATCATTTATCTATCTTATCTCATATACATCTAGCTGATCTTTTTTTCATATCTGCAGAAAAAAAACAAATGAACCTGCTATACATAATGAATGTCCTTCAAATCTCATATATTGTTCTTTTCTTTACAGGTCACTGTTACTACAGACTCAGTAAGGAATTTAATTTAGACGATTTGGGCTGTTTTACCAAATGTCGCAAACCTTGCCTGTAAGTACCCCGGTACTGAGAGTTTACATGTATTTTGTGGTGCAAATGTGTTCTTATTCCTCCAGAAAAACATTAACCAGTGTTTCCCAAGGCTTCGGCCGTGTGCCATTGGTGGTACGTACCCCTCACAGCAAGTGGCAAATTGCAGGAGTCGGTGCTTAAAGGGGAACTCCAGGAATGTAAAAAGTTAACCCTTGCAGCGGGGCTACCCCCTCGCTGAAAGGGTTAAAGTGACATTAAACCCTCAGATTTTTTAACATAAAACAATACTGTAATGTGTGCCTTCCTGTAATCCATGGTTGTTTCCCTTCTCTTTGCTGCTCTTCCTTTTAAATCTGTATCTGTTCTCATGCTCTGCAGAACTTCTGTTTTGCAGCAGACTGCCTTGTCTCAGGAATGGATACACGGTGTCTGTGTGTAGGTTTGTATAGGTTTGTAACCTGAGCCAGCACTACAGGAAGAGGCCCTGAGCTGAAAAGGGAAGTTCTCCCCAAGCATGAGAAGATATGAGGATTTAAAAGGAAGAGCAGCAAAGAGAAGGGAAACTACCATGGATTACAGTAAGGCGCACATTACAGTATTGGGTTATGTTAAAAAAATCTGAGGGTTTAATGTCACTTTAACTGCTCGTTTTAGGGTGGCTCGATTAAAAAAAATATATACTCACTTGATCCCGCCTGGCTTCTGTACGTACCCCTCACAGCAAGTGGCAAATTGCAGGAGTCGGTGCTTAAAGGGGAACTCCAGGAATGTAAAAAGTTAACCCTTGCAGCGGGGCTACCCCCTCGCTGAAAGGGTTAAAGTGACATTAAACCCTCAGATTTTTTAACATAAAACAATACTGTAATGTGTGCCTTCCTGTAATCCATGGTTGTTTCCCTTCTCTTTGCTGCTCTTCCTTTTAAATCTGTATCTGTTCTCATGCTCTGCAGAACTTCTGTTTTGCAGCAGACTGCCTTGTCTCAGGAATGGATACACGGTGTCTGTGTGTAGGTTTGTATAGGTTTGTAACCTGAGCCAGCACTACAGGAAGAGGCCCTGAGCTGAAAAGGGAAGTTCTCCCCAAGCATGAGAAGATATGAGGATTTAAAAGGAAGAGCAGCAAAGAGAAGGGAAACTACCATGGATTACAGTAAGGCGCACATTACAGTATTGGGTTATGTTAAAAAAATCTGAGGGTTTAATGTCACTTTAACTGCTCGTTTTAGGGTGGCTCGATTAAAAAAAATATATACTCACTTGATCCCGCCTGGCTTCTAGACTGCTTCCCGCAGCCTCTTCTTCCCCGGGCTCCGGCAGTCTAAGCCCCGCTGACGTCATCATATCTAATGCAGGTCCATTACACATCCAAGGACACTGTCCAAGGACACTGAGAGACATACCACAGAGAGGTGAGAATTCACCGCTGCAAGGCCGAGGATCAGGTCGGTATATGCTCTTTATTCCGGCCCCTAGACCACTAGTTAATCCCTGCAGTGCTGGGGTAGCCCCACTGCAAGGGTTAACTTTTCACACACCTGGAGGTCTTCTTTAAAAATTCAACTCCACTCATAACTAATATTGAGACCTCTGAGGGCCACCGGTACGTTGAACCACCTGTGGACTTCCTCTATAGCTGGATACCTCAATGATAACATTTTCTCGCACTTCTTTGTGTTCTTTCCCTCAAGGCCACAGCAAGGGAGTCATTATCTCGCAGCTCGATTCTCCAAATATTTATGGTACACGACATCTTCCCGGGTTCCCACGCATTGAAAGTTTGCGCACACAGGCTTTTGTTTGCTTCAGAACTGTTTTTCTTTTCATACAAGTCAATGGAAATGCAAAATCAGCTCGATATAGCTGCTTCAAGCAGAACTCCAGGTACAAATTGTATTAACCCTTGCAGTGGGGCTACCCCGGCACTGCAATGGTTAACTGCTTGCAATGGATAACTGCAAAAACGTTATACTCACATGATCCTCGGAGCTGGCCAGCGGTCACAGCACTCCCTGCCTCCTTCTCCTCCTCCGCAGTGGTATGTCCCTCAGGGTCCTCACGTCCTATACAGTGCACAGAACATGATGACTTTCGGGACCCTAGACCGCTGCAGCAGAGGGGGAGCAAGGCAGGAGGGACCGATCTAAGAGTTGGCTGGCTCCGAGGATTTGGCGAGTATAACTTTTTGATTTTCCTCCCTAGACACAAACAAACACTTAATCCTTGCAGTGCGGGGGTAGCCCCACTGCAAGGGTTAGTAACATTTGTGCCCGGAGATCTGCTTTAACTGCTTTCAGCTCTCGTACCCGGACACCACCTATTGGATCCATTATCACATGTTCAATACGGACCTGTTTATATGGTGATAACGTTGTCATTACGTAAGATAACAAACGAATACATCAACGTGCATCTCTACATTGCACATTCACATCAGTCCCTGCCCTCAAGGAGCTTACAATCTAAGGTCCCTATCTCACATGCATACTTACAAGGGCCAATTTAGAGAGGAGCCAAATAACCTTCCAGCGTGTCTTTGGACTGTGGGAGGAAACCAGAGTACCCAGAGGAAACCCGCCCCACTAGCGATCCCCCATCACCACCTGGCGGCCCCCCAGAGTGAAACCACCTAAGGCAACTTACTCAGGCTGCATTATTATAGGAACAGCCCTGTCCTTGTGGGTGCAGAATGGGATATTTTTTCTAATGTCACACCTACACCAGCTTGTGCTATATTTTCTAATAGCAGGTTTTATGTTTAGGTTCAGGTTTTATGTTTAGGTTCAGGTTGAGCATATGAGGAAAAAATGGTAGACAGAAGCTATCGCCTTGAGTGAGCTCCACCGATCAGTAGAGCCAGAATTAGGACATAGTTAGAGGAATATTCAAATCTTGATTCCTTATTTGTCCTTTGTGCTTGATGATCCTTATCGGTCATTTAATAAGATGGGTGGCCCTTCTAATAAATAGGGAGATTCCCATGAGGCATTGCAAGACTGACAGTTACAGGCATGACTCCCAGAGGCAGAGGCATGTTGGGAATTTGTTGACCAGAGTTGCCCGCCCCTGCTCTCGAGGGGCAATGTCCCTTGATTTTTATAACCTTGAGTCATTTATTATTTTCCACTGGAGTCTTTATCATATAAGATCCTGGACCAAATTTTGTATTAGTTTCTATTTCGCATCAGGTCGGTGACACCGTCGCAAAGGAAATTGGGCGCATAGATTTCCCAACATACAGACACATCTACTGTTCTACGCAACTTCCCAACCTCACATGACTACCACATATTTCAAGAAGTTGTTGCAAGTTTATATTCGTTTCTTCCCATTTTTTTGTGACCTTTATGATCTGCCCAATGCTGTGAAATGTGAAGAAAAGCAGAAGCTTGTAAAAATTTGAGTGGCTCTAAAGCAAAATATTTTTCTACTTTTTAGATAGAATGGGGTGGATTAAAACCCTTAGTCATGTTGTTATTACTGTCTGCGGCCCCATTGGGGAGAATCACCCTCTACCATTGTCAACAAAAGGGAAAAAGAAGGGAAATCCACATACAGTATTTACAGTTGTTACTGATGACAACTGCCCAACTGGGATTCCCCTACACTTAAAGTGATATTAAAGTCAAAAGGTTTTAAAGTTATTACTTACAATGGATGCTGCTTCTTGATGTTTCAGAGTTTTAGCTTCTTGTAGAATCAGCTGGTCCCCTGAGCACTGGCCCTGATATCCTGTTTTAGGGTGGTTCCTTTCCCTTGCAGGGTCCTATGGAGCCACTCTTGTGTGTGTTAGTAAGCTGTGTGTGTCTCTACAAACACACAGACACAACAAGCCAATCAGTCCCCTGCTCCCCGCTATCCGCTCCTCCTTCCTCCCTTCTCCAAGTTAGTAGATGGACAGCTGCTGGAGACATTGCTCTGTCCTTTGTGATCTTGTGCTACAAAGGATATTCAGGGAAGCTAAGCTGAGAGAGTTGAAGCAGCTCTGTGGAAATACTACGACTAGGAATGCACCGATAACAATACTAGTATTGGTATCGGTGCCGATACCAAGTATTTGGGCGAGTAGTCGTACTCGCCCAAATGCTCCAATACCTTTCCCGATATTGGAACTTCCAGTCAGAGGAACATTTCCTCTGAACGGCAGTCCTGCGAGGGAACATGGAGCCGGGAAGCTGAGTATGTGTTCGCTCACTTCCAAATCTATTGAGCCGACCTGTGACAGTTTCATTGTCGCACGTCGGCTCAAACTATGAGGATAAGTGATTTTCACTCCCCTCATAGTTCTCCTTTAAATAGGATATGCTTTACAATATTCATATAAATGTCTGACTTTTTTCATGACTGAGGGCCCTGTGCATAAAAAGCCAGCTTCATGGTTTGATGACTTTGGTTTGGAGGAACTCGAGTGTCCTCTACAGACCTCAACCCTACTGAACACCTTTGTGATGAATTGGAATGCCTATGGTGAGCCAAGTCTACCCATCCAACATCAATACCTGACCTCACACATGTTCTTTTGTCTGAACGGGCACAAATTCCCAGAGACACATTCCAAAATCTTGTGGAAAGTCTTCCCAGAAGGGTGGAGGCTGGCAGGGCCGCGCTGTAAGAAAACATAATTTATAATACCGATGGTGGAAACAAAACTAATATGTATTTGTAGATTTATCAGATCTTCTTCATCTTTTGATACATGAAAGATCATGGTATAAATTCCTTAAGTATCAAAAAATCCTTTTATTCTTCCTATAACAAGGCCTCATGGAAATTTTTTACTGCCGGCAATTTGCCAGGAAATTAATCTGCTTTTCATAGCTTCTTGCCTAAGCGTGTCAGTATTTCCTCACTTACGGTGATTCATCCTTAATTTACCAACCTCACATCTGCCAGCTCTCCGGGCTGGCCCCTTGCCTTCCCCCCTTGCACGTGATTATGTGTGCCTAAGGCCAAATATTATACATTACAGCTAAAGCTCCTTTTTTCTTCTTAAATGTCCCAGGGATAATTCCTGAGGTTCAGTATAAATTATTGCACATGACAATTTTAAAGTCTTTGCGGTCTTCTTTTTACATTTCCTTCACCTAATTTGCTCCTTTGCTATCAGAAGCCAATTGTTTACAGGGGTCAGTAGCTCAAGATGACATTCCCAGCTCTCGGTACATTGAGAAATTTACACTTTCCAACCATATTTTTTCTCCCTTCTCTTCTGCTAGAACCTCCACCTCCCTCCAGTTTTATTGTTTTATCAGCCTAGTGAGGTTCTCTTTCTGCCTGTGTATTTTATTCTTTGCAGTTATATATATATTTTTTATTGCTCTGCTGCATCCTGTGCATGCCTTACTCATACACATCGTATATAGACATATGTGACTCCTTTATGTACCTCCGTAACAGGTTTGCCTCCATTTCTGCTCTCACATACGCAGATGTTTTATAATGCGTGTTGTATTGTACTGTTGAAATGTCAATAAAAATGTATATGCTTAAAAAAAAAGATGACATTCCAACCAGGGTCGGATTTACTCTCTCTGCTGCCCCTAGGCCAGGTTCCTCAATGTGCCCCCCCCCCCCCCATGGAGAATGGCAGACCTGCAGCATGCATACAAGTGATCTTGGAGACATCACTTGTACAAAACAATCGGCTGGTTCCCCACTGTACATTTAGTTCTGCTTGCCCAAAGCAGGGCTAAATGTAGAAAACAACTATGCGCCCAGAACTACATGTCCTGGGCATCGGGAGATAGGAATTCCACACCCCTGCTGCCCCTCTACTCCCTGCTGCCCCAAGGCTGGGCCTCGGTTGGCCTTGTGGGAAATCCGGCCCTGATTCCAACTCAAAGGAGTGGAGTGTCTCCTCCATTATTGGTCCAAAGTTTCAGTCAGACACAAACTGCCTTTAAATTGTATGTACAGAAGTGTATGTACTCCGGTTAAAGTGTATGTACTCCAGTTTCCTCCCACACTCGAAAGCCATGTTGAAAGGTTAATTGGCTCCTGTCTAAATCGGCCCTGTATGCATGTGAGATAGGGACCTTAGACTGTAAGCTCCTCAAGGGCAGGGGGTGATGTGAATGTGCCACTATGTAAAGCTCTGTGTAAAATTGTCAGTGCTATATACTGTAGATAACAATAATAAATAAATAAGGTGCAGCATCAACCAAGAGGAATTACATTTGTGAACAAATTAAGTTAACTGGTATCGGGGCAGACAGGGCCGATTCGAAGCTCTGGTGGGCCCTGGGCAAAAAATATAATAGTGGGGCCCCCTCTTCCTCCCCCCTCCCTCTCCCTTACCTCCCACCTAAATAGGTCACACAACATGGGTGATCCGGAGTCGTGGTCACAGCAGTGCAGCACCATCACGGAGGGTAAAAATAATAAAAAATTCCCTCTTCATGTGGGCCCCTAGACAGGGGGCCCTGGGCAAATGTCCACTGAGGCTGGTGTCAATAGAGTGTATATTCTGTAACGCTCCGTGGAATGCGTCTACAATTATAAAGCAGAAACTATACTGGTTATCTCCTTCTGTGTTTAGCATATCATCAATGATATGCTAACTCTGTAACTAGTTAAATTTTTAAATCCTTCCTCCTTCAGTGGCGTCACTCACCGGATACGGTGCTGGAAAACTTCCATCATGGTCTCTAATGTGTTCTTAACACACTTCCTGTTGAGAACATCAATCAAACCAATTTCCCACAAACCTCTTTATCAACTGGCTTGTAGCCTTTGCATTGTTTCATTTCCTAATAGTTCTGAATGTGAATAAAAATCTGATGCTGCCTAAGAATGAGGTCCAGTTTTTGTTATGTATCCATGGCCACAAAATGGACGTTTGTGCTACATGTTTTTACAATGTCTTAAATCTTAAATACTTTGCTCGCAGGGTGACCGACTACATTCTGAACGCCGGATATTCTCGATGGCCAACTAAAGTCAGCGAGGTAGGTCATGCAAAAGGAGGGAAAAAATGAGCTCAGCAGTATTTATGGCTTGACCCGTTCCAACAGTGAAGGTGTCATCTTCACACAGCCAGACTCTTCTGTTTTGTCATTTCTGCAGAATCTAGAAAGACAGAACTGGGACATTGTGGTGGAGATGTCTCACCATTTGGCATTTACAAGAAATATCCTGTAAGTCAGTATTTGGTGAATCCGTGCAAAGTTTGAAAGATTCATTTTGAGGAGAGACGGCCTTTAAACAGACTCTGTAACTGGTGGGGACAGGGGATCAAACTGTGGCGTACCTTCCAAACCTTCCCATTATGGATGAATCATAGGCTATTATAACCGGCAAAGCTTCATAACTTCTTGATTCCCTTTCCTGCTTCTTGTACTCTATTGGCCAGTGAGGTTCCCAATCATAGTGATCCTATGCTGAGTGATGATGTGATGCTAAGTGGCAAGCTTTAACACTATCCGGAGGTGGCAGAGCTTGGCCAGTTCAATTGGCCAACCACTTGGCCATGGCAACAAGGTTTGGGCTGCTGCTGTTGATATATGTGCACCTTTAGGTCCCTGAACCTTATTCCTCCAGCATGTTGCCCCCCTTCTGCCTAGAGATGGAGTCTCTTTGAAGTCCATTTGAATATACATTAATCACCAGCACACACGTCACCATGTCATCCTGATGAGATGAAGGGGCCCTGTGTGACCCCAAAATGTTGATGGTATCTGAGACACAATGTGACAATTAATAAAAGCAAGGAAGAATGAAGGTCTTCTTCTGTGTGTGTGCTGGTGATTAAAGTATCTTCACTTGGATGTTCTGCATGGTGCCATCCTTGTTAACACTATAAGCACCACCATCTCCTTAAGGACATATCGCTGCATGGAGTGCAGTTGATCTGTAGCATCTTTGAAGTCCATCTCTCCCTAAAATGAATAGTTACACTTTGCGTGGCTTCAACAAATGCTAACCTAAATCTCTTGGGAAAGCCATGGTGAGATTTACCAGAATGTATCACCATTTCCAGTTCTGTCTGAGCTCCAGTGCTGCAATCTCTGTTTGGAAATGTTCTTTTGCTAGTGCCTGCAAAGGTTTTCCTCTTCGGCCATCTATAGAGAGGAAATACTGAGTATTCTAGTCAGTTCTTTTTCTACAATAGTGAGATCATCTGATAAACAGTAATATATGAAACATTTAATCTTGTTAGGTTGTTGACCCTGGAACAATTGATGTTGTCTGTGTGGTTTCCTTGTATTAATAAAGCGCTCGGTGCCAACAACATTGCTAATATCAACCCGGGAGCTTCACAATAATATTTCCATGCATGAATAGGTGCAGTACTTTGAGTAGAGGGTCAAAGGTAGCTTCCTCCTACCTAAAGGTCTTCCTAGTATAAATAGTGTTGAGGCCCCCTGCTTTGCTGCTGTTGGTTCAGAAATGCATTACACAAATTGCAGCTTTGTCAAGAACTTGTCTTTTAGATAACAGCTGAAGTTTTGTCACCCCTATTCAGTTTTCAAGCCAGGTTGCAGAGCCGTAGCTAGCTCCTTTTGCGTCTGAGGCAAGGACAAACCCCCACCCCCCACAACAGGCATGTGATGTCACCCAGCACCGCGCACATGCGGCGTCATGCGCCCCGCCTCCAGAATTTTTTTTATTATTTTTGGAAAGTACAGAGGCTTTTCATTCATTCAGAAAATATTTATTATCAAGCAGTTTCTGAATGGGGAGAAGCCTCTGTATAGAGTGCTACTACCTATTGGGAAACTCATGAATGAACAGGAAGTGATGTAAAGCACTTCCTGTTCATTTATAACTGGGGACAAATAGTACTGCTGATTGCTCCAGTGTTTGCTCTGCACAGAGAGGATCGGTACATATCACTGATATGCACCGATCCTTCGCTGCTCGGCCACGCACAGAGGGGCGGCACAGACTTCAGCTTTTCCTCTGGATCCCCGCTGCTCTCCCCCGCCTGTATGGGCAGAGGCAGCGGGGAACCGAGGAAAAGTGAAGGAGGAGAGAGCCATCGGCTGTCAGATCCTGGCCGAGCGGCTCTCTCTCCTCACAGAGCAGAACTCCCCAAATGGGACACCAACATCAGTGAAAACATTTTAACCATTCCACACTATGCAAATAAAAAAAGAAAAACAATTTGGCAGCACTTCCACTTTATCTTTTAAAGCATCAGTCCACCTAAGGGTCCTTGTTCACCTTGGGATAGATGTTGTAATATTAAACCTCATGGTTTCTTGTATAGTGCCTCACTGGAACTTTATTGGTGATATCGTAGTGCTAGGTTCCCGGTTCCACACTCCTGCTGTGCCCGATATGGAAGGCTCCTGCCATGTCTGTTGGGTTTTCCATTTATTTCCAATATGGAGAATACAAATGGAGAAGTGGGGACATCCAAAGGTGGTACGGAACAGCTCAAATTCAAAGTAGGCAGGATCCAGGAATCATGGCAGGGAGAAGTTGTCATTGAGGTCATCAAGAGTTGAAAGAAGCTAAGCTATACGTCTTGTGGGTGCACGGGCCTTTATCGTACAGTTACATTGTATATAACACATTGTTTTTCATTACAGGACTGGGTGTTTCACACATTGTCCCAAACCAACCAGACTGAAAGGTGAGAACATGTTTTTATCTATTTGTATCTATTTCCCTTCTCCTACCTCAGAGACGCAGTCTAGTTTTGGGTAGATGGTTATTAAATCACTCTGCAACCTTTAAAGTTTGTCTCTAGGCAAAGCTTTTTTATTTAGTTTTGGATAGGGAGCAATGTTAGACTCTCTGTCAAGTTTTCATTACTCCAAAGAGATACATCTAAGAGGCATTGGGACTTCAATATTTATTCATAAAGAACAGTAAAGGTGAACGGCGGTCATTTGGAAAGCTCACTGGCTTTGGTTAGGTGACTCAAATGCAGGGCCAGATTTCCCACCAGGACAACCAAGGCCCGGCCTCGGGGCAGCAGGGAGTAGAGGAGCAGCAGGGGTGTGGAATTTCTATCTCCCGATGCCCGGGACATGCAGTTCCGGTCGCCTAGTTGCTTATGCAGACTGCAGGTCTGCCATTCTCCATGGGGAGGGGGGGGGGTTGGTGGGTAGGGGGGCACATTGAGGAACCTGGCCTTGGGGCAGCAGAGAGATAAAATCCGGCCCTGCTCGCATGGAAACAGTTTTACCCTCCAATGAGTTCCAGTGATTTATGAATCATTAAAGCTGTTTTGGACTCCCTTATGGGTTTGGCCTTGTGCTCCTTTTTTTGGTTTATGCTTTGAGTGAAGTTTTCATTGCTGTCTGTGTCCCTGTTAGGTAGATTGACCGCTCTGTTTGTACAGGTGACCCTTGTCGTTGAGAAACAAAGTGATGGGAAATCCAATTTTTCCAGTGTAGCTGGAATTCAGCTTTGAAGTAAGCCTGTTATAAGAAAATAACTGTATGAGGATAATGATCATATTTTGTGAGTCATTGTCCAGTAGCAAGTTTGCAGATAGGAAAAGTTGATTTAAAGTGAGAACTCCTGATTCTTTCTCAGTGATTCAGGGTAGTGAAACCACAGCCTCAGCATGATTTCCTGAAAGCTATCCGGAGGGGTCAGTAATGGAACCATCCAAGCTTCCTATATGTTCCTAGAGATAAGACTTTTTCTGTACACCTTGGGGCCATATATAGGTAACGTGGTCATCCAGTTACAAACAATCCAACCAAAGCACAGTCATTTTGTTCCTGACTAGCCCACACAAATGTAACCAATTGTTCACACCATAAAGTGCACCATCAGTATTTGCCAGTTATGTATCATGATGCTATTCAGAGGATAGGAATGATTTGACTTGTTTGTATGTACATTTGGCAATCCAATGTGATGGTACTTCACCCATGCTCATACCTTGACCCTTATATGTCCGCTAAAAGACACACATTCCCACCCCATCTGATTTTTCATGTGGCAGCACATTCTCAAGGACATCAGAAATAATTGGTCACATCCCATCATCCGACCATTTATTGGATGTGTGGTGCTAGGTTCTCCATCTTCCAGTTGAGATAGGAACACGACTTTCAATTGTTTGGCTGAATATCCCCAATGTATGCAATGTAATCAGATCCTAATCCAATTGAATTTGGTGTTTGCAGGAACATGGTTGCAAAACTCAACATCTACTTTCAAGAGATGAATTATAAAACCGTCCAGGAATCGCCGACAATTAACGTAAGTTTGGATGTGAACCTCTTCCTGCTAAAGTATTGACTTGTTAGTGAGAAGATTTCTATATTAATATGATAATGTGCGGTAAAAGAAATACAGTTCCAAGCTGGCCACACATTGGCCAAAATTTGACCAGTCCTGCTGACTCAGCCAAAATCTGTCCAGTGAGTTGCCTCCTCCGGACTTTCCCCGTTCAACACAAGTCAATTTTTTGTCATAGGAGCCGGTCTAAAAAAATCTCGGCTCAACCGTAACTGCAGCCAATGAGCTGCAGTCAGTGTTTGGGCATTCTAACAGAGGCTGAAGGTAGGGCTAGCCTTACTGTATGAAACTTAAAGCAGAAGTAAACTCAATTTTTAAACTTTCTCCCTTCAGCAAGCTTATTATATGTATTCCTCGTAGACAGCAATCAAATCCTACAAAGTTTTCCGCTTCCAAAGATATTTCTGTAATATTTTGTCGTGACATCACTCGCACATGCGCATTGTAACACTAATTCCAAGTATACCAGCAGCTGTGCCAAGATCCACAAAGCGCCTTGCTGGGATGAAGTGAGGACTTTGTTCTGAGATAGGCCGTCTCAGCTCCTTCATGTGACTAGCTCATCCTTTCTCAACCAGGTTGGGGTGCCTTCTGGCTTCCTCAGGAGTGACTTGAAATTGTTGCACATTGTCATGCCTTTTCATGGTACAAGCAGGGCTCTGATCTGAAGGGGTTCCTAAAGTGAAGGGGGGGGCTCTAATATGAAAGGGGGACTCTGATGTAAAGGGGGGATTCTGGTCTGAAGAGGGGCTCTGATGTAAAGGGGACAACAACAAAAAGTTTCCCAGCATACTCACCAGCCAGCCTGCAAAAAAACAGGGTCTAACTACTACAGTTAAAAACAAAGACCTTAGTTGCACGTCTTCGGCAGAATATGTGAAAGCCGCACTGCCTCGTCAAGGCCCCGCTGTGTAGTGTGGTCCTAACTTCTGCGAGCCCCCATTTTGTAGCATATATAGCAAAGGATGAATTGGGTGGAGGTTCGCCAGGAGGCAGCCCAACCTCCTTAAAGGCACAGGGACACACAAGGAACCCTGCACATAACAACGGCAGCTGAAGCCCCCAGTGTGTCACTGCACCACATACAAGCAAAACACCTGGAGCGGTCGTCTTATTAACGCGTGCCGACGGCCATCATGGTGATGGATGGCGGCAGAGAGAGGAGGGGCTGTTCACCTGGCGAGATGAGGTATGCCGCTGGTTCCCCTCCTCTCTCCTGACACTGTCGGGCTCTCGGACCAGAGTGCCGGACTTTTCATAGGGGGTGACATTTTGGTGTCACCCCTCCAATGGTGGCACCCGTTAGAGGCTGCCACAATTGATAAAAGGTTGGGAAACGCTGGACTACCAGCACTATGGCAAGAATGGATTAAAAGCAATACTTGGTTCCAGTGGAAGCAGGTAGCACATGCGCAATGCCAACTAGCCATCAAGGGCAAGTCATCAAGAGGCTAAAGCGGGACTCACTCTGATATCGGTGGGAGGTGAGTATTTCCAGAATTGAGTCAAGATGGTGCAAGCTTTAGTGTCTGAAGGGGGGTTGCATGGTACCAATAAAAAGAAAAGTTCAGAAAAGGATTATTAGATTCTAGTATGTTCCATTGTATTTTAGTGCAGATTTCATATGTTTTTGTGATGGTAAGGGAGGGTTTACTTTAAAGTGTGAACTCTCCCAAGGATTCAATGGAGATTATACAACGTATGAGCAGGCCAGGCCAGCAACAAGCTGCATAGCCCATACCCCGCTGGATCAGGGACAGCGGGTAAAATACTGGGAAGGGTAGGCGGTGGCGCTACAGTAACTTTAAACGATCCTTTCTGCGGGTACAACTAATCCTATAGTATGATTTACATGGGTTTGAAAGTCAACTTCCTTCAAAGTTATTAAAATACAAAGTAATTCTGTGCACAGATTTTCCATATGAACCTTGATAGAGGACAGAGTGTGATGTAATATGCAGCAACTCATAGCACCCAGTCATAGACTACCCACTCCAAGGAGCTGAAAATCCTGTTACTATGTAACATTGATGACACTGAAATGTTACATTATCTCTCAGCATCACATCTTACTCCCTGGCTGTTTCATGCTCCACAATGTCTATCTCTTGTCTAGTCTTTGATGTCCTCTCGCTTCCTTTAAAGCAGAACTCCAGTTTTAAAATGATTTACAAAAGATGTAAAAACAAAAATGCAGCTCTCACTGCAGTACTGGCCTCATCTCCAACCTCGTGCCCCACAGAAAGTCCACTCCACTGCCGGCCGCTGCTCCTCTTCAGGGTTGAATGACATTCAGCATCATTCGACCCACCTAATGTGAGCCTAGGCTGTTATGGGCATGCCCCCTCAGCCGGGGGTTTACAATACAGTCTTACAGAGAGCAGTACTCATGTCATGACGTCAGCACTGCTCCCTTCTATATTGAGGAGCAACTACTACCGACGAAGAGTAAGGCAGTCATGGGCCAGAAGACTTCTGGATTTAAGGTATTGCTGGTCAGTGGCTGGTTGTAACAATAAGCCCTCCAGCATTACTGGTCGGTGGCTGGCTGTAACAATAACCCCCCAGCATACGTGATCAGTGGCTGGCTTTAACAATAACCGTCCAGCATTGCTGGTCAGTGGCTGGTTGTAGCAATAATCCTTCCAGCATTGCTGGTCAGTGGCTGGCTTTAACAATAACCCATCCAGCATTGGTGGTCAGTGGCTGGCTTTAACAATAACCCCTCCAGCATTGGTGGTCAGTGGCTTCCTGTAACTATAACCCTTCTATAATTGGTGGTCAGTGGTTGGCTGTTACAATAACCCCTCCAGCCTTAGTGGTCAGTGGATGACTTTAGCAATACACTCCTCCTCCCCCAGCACTGGTGGTCAGTTCAACTGTTGGGTGGAGATCTTTCTACCTTACAGTTCTGGCTTCATCCAGTGCCAGGTGCTGGAACACAGAGAGCTGTACCTGGACACCCTCTAAGTGGTGGTATCCCATGCAGACACCCCTTCCTCTAGGTACACCATACACCACTGGGTAGCTCCCTTTTTTTTTTTTTTTTGAAAGGAGGTTTTGGTTTAAGAACGCCTGTCAGGAGAGTAAAATGGAGGCTGAAATTTCCTTCTAAAAATACCGGTCGTCTTGTTGTCATTCTGATCCTGTGGCTTCAACAATTTCAGTATTTCAAAGTATGCAGATGAGGACTTCTGACTTTCCTGATCTGCATGCTGCGCTAAAAAGTTACAGTAGGTTTAAAAAAGGTAAACCTTCCGCTTTTTATTTACATTTTTTTTAAATGTAGCGACGTCCTTAATTTGCATGGCATTGCTTAATGTAACATGAGGAAGGGAGACGGTGCAGAGAAACCAGGAAGAATACGGCTTAGAGGCAAGATCAGGTCAGGGACAGAACAGCTTGGGTGGGGGTTGGGAGAGGCTTGGGTAATAAGATTTATAAGGTAGATGTGATTTGCATATACTCGTACATGAACTTGGTGTGCCGTTGTTAGGCAGGTATAACCTGTTTCCTCTCCATGTACCAAATGTTCTCAGTGCTTAACATATAGCTCCTTCAGCAAGAAGCTTTGGGGGAGCGCATATGAGTAGAATAGGTTTGGGGCGATGCCCTTTGCCTTGTAGGAGCACAGTGACACTGTCTCTTTAAGAGGCAAGAACAAGACATAACTGAGGACCCTTCAAATCATCTCATTCGTGTCTTAAACCCCGCAGCTTGTCCAAAACTCTGACGTGGATGGTACAGAAGAGAGGAACCGTGGGCAGATCTTTATATCATAAGCTGGAGTTTTTCGATTATCTTATGCAATCAGCCTGTGGTCTGCTGTCAGCTCTCTGAATAACCATCTCTGTGACCACAAGTTACATTGCAGGGCTCACAGTATGAACTGATGATCTGCAGCTAGTGGGTGACTTGCACACTTTTCGCACTCTCCCCCCCCCGGTGGTTTTACCGCGCTGTGGGAGCATGTGATATGAGTTTCCACTCGTCATTTATAGAACGGCGAGCAGCCTTATAAAACCGTTTTGTGAGCTGAAAACTCTATTAAGGCCTCGGCAAAAGAACTGTCTTGCTTAAAGGGGTTTTCCAGCTGCAGGTGGCTTGAATGTCAGACACTGAGAATTGTGTTTTTACAGTAAAATGGACATTTAACTGTGCAGCCTTACCATTGAGGGATGGGTGTGTGTGCTGTTATTCACTTGTGCTTTCTCCCGGAGAAACACAGTATCAGCATAGAATCAGGCTAGCAATGAGGCTGTCCGCTCACCAGGGCCACACCTGACACCCCGTCTGGGATGCTGGAGGGGCTACAACTGTAAGTTAACTAGTCCTACAGTTTTCTCTCATGTAATCCTATTAGCACATTTGTGATGTGATAGTATCCTCAGTGTATATTATTAATGCTGAGCTCAGGCAGAAAAGCTTTAGAAACAGAGTCGAATTATTTTGCCCCCCATTGGTAAAATGTATACTCACTTCCTGTTAATGGCAACCAGATGGCGGGGATGGCAGGGTTTTAATTTTTTAAACCCTTTTTTTCATTTAATTTTGTCTTTATTGTTTTATTTTTTTTTATATATTTCTTTACTTTTAATTTTTTTTAATTTTTATTTACTTATTTACATTTTTCTTTACTGCTTTGCAGGTTTTCTTTACCTCTCCCCACTCGGGGGTCTCTCCTAAGGACAGCCATCACCAAGTACTTGGTGCACCGGCTTCAGCAGGTCCCTAAGGATCAGGGTCCATCTGGCTTTGGCTAGGTGGACCATGGTTGCCTTGCCTGTGTCAGGAGCCTTGTGACCTGGTAGGTTCAGAGAATGGTGGCCCTTCCTCATCGGAGGAGGTCCAGAAGCACCCTCGTGTACTTTTTTTTTTTT